CTTTTCGATAGTGATTCTGAAAGCTGGCATGTCAGAAAATAGGAAGCATTAACTTGCAATGGTCCAAGCATTTTTTCTGCGATCAGAGAGAGCTGCAAACTATAAAAGGTCATTTTGACTGTCCTTCGATAAATTGAATTTTTTACGGTGATAGTTTAGTTTTCTTCAGTTTTCAACCTGATATTCGTGAATGAACAGCGTCAAATTCTGCTTTTAGTGATGTATTTGATGACCGAATTTGAGAAAGAAAATTTTCCGACTGTCCTGAGGGATCACAAGGGCTTAAAATTTTCGGAAAATCTGAAAATGAGTTTTCCGAAAAACTGAAACGGCTAGTTTGTTCAGAATTCGTCGCTGATTCTAACCATATACTTTTTTTCTAAAAGGTGTAAGAAACGAAAAACAGCTTTATCCGCCTCCCTCCTTTAGAATCAAGAATCCTAATTTTAATTAAAACTTAAATTTATAAGCTAAAAAGAGTAGCTAAAAGATGAATGGAAACTTCACTGCTTCTTCTAAAATTTGACTGCTTGATCAAAGCATGTTATTTTCCATTCAAATTTAGCCTACATATATTCCACACTTAAGTCTATGTCTTACTATTTTTGGTGTCATATCAATAAGTCTTGCTTTTCTATGATCCCATGTGTTTTACAAAAATCAAGTTCAGTTCACTTTATCCAAACTTATCTGCAAGATTTCCGTATAAACTTTTATCTTTTGTAGGTCAAGACCATTATTTTCTGGTAAAACTTTCGTTCAAGATCTTGTCGTAGAATCGCACACAGAATTTTGGTACATGTTGCGAAGTTTTGCAAGCTCTAATGATACCTTAATCTTGAGATAACATTTTTCACAAACATTAGTAATACAGATACTTTGAAATCTTGTAAGAAAATTACAAGGTCACACGAAATCTTAGAAGGACCTACATGAATTTATAAGAAGCTATCAAGGATATTTAAATCGATTATCCATACTCGAAAAATAGTCGAAAACCAACGAAATAAAAAGCGAACAAAAGAACAGATGTTAACAACATTACTAGAAATTTATTTCTTATTTTCAAATCTTCCGTTTTTCCGAAGACGAATATTGTTGGACAAATAAGTAGACCCAATAAACATCCACAAATTAATCCACCAATGTGAGCGAAAAGATCGATCATTGGCTCAACGAACGAAAATACAGGTAAAAATGTTATTGTCACACAATGAATGGTAATATCTAACCATGGATTTGGTAATTTACCGAAATTTTGAATTTTATCTAACAGTAAGACACCGATTAAGCCAAAACAGGCACCTGAAGCACCAACAGTGACTACAATTTTATCTAAATCATCAGATATAGAACTTCTATTTAGAATTTTTACTTTTTCCTTTTTATTTTAACTTACCATGCCATAATATGGCTTTGACGGAACTCACAATATTTCCACCTAAACCGGATAATATATAGATGACACCAACTCTTGCAGTACCAAATTTACGTTCCAAAACCATCCCGTCGCATATCTGTGCTGTCAAGTTAAATAGAAGATGCATAATACCAACATGAAGAAAGATGGATGTTATGAAGCGATAATATTGATATATTGTAGCATAAGAGCCACACAAAGATTTATTCTCGTCGACATGAGACACATTTTTCATGCATGGAAGAAATTTGGCTCCAATTTTTATTAACGTAACATTAGATACACCCAACATTTTATAGTCATCAATATCTTCTAAGCCACCATTTTTAATTAAAGCAAATATCATTAAAAGTAGATCGATCAAACTTATGGAAAGTATAAAAATGGGCCATTTTTGTTGAACTTTAGATGATTTTGATTTATCATCAACGACTAGATCGATATGAGAGAATGATGGTGTCTGTTGTGGTGTTAGTAAAGCGATGTCTGGCTCTTCGATCGAAAATTTGGATAACGACAGAGGGATGACGCATATACAACGATTTTCCATTAATAAATGACTAAAGCAACAATGGGGTTTGTTTATTAAATATTTTTGATAATGAAATTCAATAAATTTTGTTTAAAGAGTCACTACTGTTATTCTATTCTTTAAAAATCTTTCCATTTTGAGATATTCTTTTTTCAATGTGTTTACTAAAGATAAATAGTAATGACTTTATTGTCTATATCTCATAGATAAACGATACAAAAATTGGCAATGTCCTTCAGACGGATGCCAGATGAGAAAATATATATATAGGATATATCAAAGATTCAATAAAGAAAAGAGAATAAAATAAAACAGCAATCCTGAAAACATTAGAGGAAAAGAAAATAACTTACATCCTTCTCGATCTTCATGATCACAACATTTGTTAGACATTCTGAAAAGTAGCTTGTGTGAGAGATATTAAAAACATTCAAATTATCATATTCAAGGTCAGATAATTAATTTCTTTTAATTTCAATGTGAATAAATATTGTTTTTATCACTCTAGAACTCTTCCTATAAAAATGACTCAACAAATAAAACACAAATAAATAAAGCTAAGATTACTACATAGTGTTTAGTTACGAGAGACATCTAGAAAACCTTCCAAATGTATATGCAAAATGCCTTTTTTTTTGAAAAAATTGTTCAGACTGATAAAAGTAAATATCTCAATTCAACAATTTTCGTGACAAAAAAAAAACTCGACTTTTCCATTTAGTGAGAGCACTGAAGAACTTTTTTTCTTATTTCAATACTGGGATACAACAACGAATAACACATGCATTATTGGTCTTGTATTAAATAAATATATTTTAGTAATGACATGACATATAATTACAATCTGTTGTTGTTGTTGTTGTGGTATAAATTATAAGTGCACATAACGAAAAAATATATCATATAAATAATATAGTAATTACAATGAGCTGGTGTAAAAATAATTTTTCCTTCTGTTCGAAGGAGAGAGATTATTCTCTAAAAAAGTTCAAACAAATTTAAAATGAACTATTTTTATGTCCTTGTCTAGGATTAAACAAGATTAATGTGCGCAACTGGCTGCTATCTATATCACAGAACACCATTAGTACCTCAAACTTTCACATCGACAATGAAATATGGCAAATCAAAGTTTGATCATGAAAATATGAAAACTACTAGATAGTGTCATAACTAATATCAAGAAATGATTTATATTTGAAAAATCTTTTTCGATATAGTATTATCAAACAGTTTATTAAGTAAAATCAAGCACAAGCCATTCTACGTAACCGGGAGTTGAAAAGCTAATTCCCTAACTTTTTCTGCTATTTTCTCATCTTTATATCTTTCGAACGAAAAGATGCTCAGAGTTCGCGATTGTCTTGTCTTGTGAAGAAACGCGTGTTCTTAAAAAATCTTCGTGCTTTTTAAGGTTCTTGGTTAACAACATTTGAGAAACTATTCAATACTATTCCTAAAAAATCTTTTTCTAATCGATGTATGTCTGATATACTTTCATAACTACGAATCTTAAAGAGTTCTGAGATATGATATGTTGTTTTAAAAACACACTTTTCTTCGCATCTTTTTGTTCGAAAGTTATAAAAACGAGAGAATAGTACAAAGTGTTATGAAATGACGTATTGTGCTGAGTTACGTGAAATGACCTTACCAATAGAAAAATGAGATGCGCAATACATTCGCTTATTTAAAATTAAAAGATTTTCACGATTGATACACCTATGTCAGGATCAATAGATTTTACCGTCGTGTCCGAACGGCGAAACGATTCACATCGTCATTATAATTCTTAGAAATTGTACCTTCGAATGAAATATGATTTGTTGTTGCGGTATGCCGTTGTATATTGTAAGAATAAAAAATCATCTAGGTACTGATTAGCCTTTTGGGAAATAATGTACGGTTCCGGTGCATAGAAGTATATGTCACATCTTGTAGAGCACATAATTCTGTGTAAGACAGAGTAATTTACAATGTTATCAATGGTAGCTTTATGAAGACCTTAGACACCAAATGTAGCCGGTAGCAAGAAATTGGAAAAATTGTGCTAATAATTTCAATTTTCAATTCAGAGCTATTTATTCGGAAGTTATGATAAGATTTCAACGAAGACCTAAATTTTTCAGATATTCTTCATGTATACTAAAAACTAGCATGCAGAAACTGATAGATAAACTGATGGTGCAATAGCTCAGTTGGTTCAATCGCAGGTATGTAAAACAAAATGTCGCATGTTCGCTTCTAACCTATTTCTCTATCTTTCTTTCATTTAGACTAGTCCAGACGTCGTCAGTATATAGCTTATCAGACTAGTCAGCGACACCTCTACGGACACCACTTTTCTTTTAATTAACGGTTAAAATTTTGGGCTAGTCATGACCGGGTCGTTTTTGTCGTATAGTTCATTGTTAGTGAGACATGAATCTTTAATCGAGATGAATTGTAGCTGTTTTTAACATTGCTGCTGTGAACTTCTTTTCAATAACAATGATGATAATATTGATTGTGTTGACACATTATGAGAGAGCTTGAAAAATCGACTTTTTTTGCGCCAGACGGATCGAGCTGAAATTTTGAGAAATGAATTATGATTATTAGTTACACATTTTGTGAAAGTTTCATCTTTACACATATGATGGTTCCATAGATATTCATTTTTATAGCTGGCGCTAAGTGAGTAGCAGTTATTCTCATTGAACGTAGCGCTTTCGCATGGAAAAATTTTTTCGAAGAAGCGACAGTGTCTAGCATAATTCTTGATGATTGAAAGCTTTTTTATAACATATAAGTACGCTTCCCTTGGTTTTTTGAGTAAGTATAGTCCTGTTTTGTTGCTTAGTTACACAAGAGAAATTACCTTAAATGGCAATTCTATACCGTATAAGCAAGAAACGAGAAAATTTAGTTCAACCGTAGAATAAAAGGTACCGCTTCCATCTTTCTTTCTTTTCATCTTATCATTTTTCCTTTTCCTTTTATACGCATGTCAATAAATAAAATAAATAAAACTATAGGAAAAAGTACGAAAAGACAAACTTTTATCTTATCATAAAAGTATTAATTGGCCTTTTGGCACAAAAGACAGTATCCAAAATGATTTTAGTCCATACTCTGTCAGTTTCACGAAAATAAAATTAGTTATAGGATACATATTTCTTATTCTATTCCATTCGATATTATGCAAGCCATTTTTCCAAAATAGGTATGTCTGGTTTGTGGAATAGAAGGCCAATATCTTCAGGAAAGAGTTTAGTGATTTATATAGACACATTTTTGATAAAAAGAAGTGTTATACTGAGCATTTTTTAAATCCACTCAAGAAATGCTGGCTTTTCCTTTTTAATTGGGAAATTGAATATTTAAGAAAGCAACGTATGAGTTCGTATATTAAGGGAACGTTTCAAAATGTATTCCGGTCGGTCGGTTGCTATTCCTCTATTCCGCTGTTCGCCTATTCCTCAATTCCGCTATTCCTCTATTCCCCGACTATTCCTCTCTTATTCCTCTGTCATTCCTCTATTTCGCTCTTCCTCTATTCCCCAATTATTTCTCTATTATAAAATTTAAATTCTAATTTATTTTATTTTATTTTGTATAGTTCGGTTTCTTTGATTGTATTATTGATACATATATCGGCATATATATACTTTCAATGTGTTCGTTTTTTTAACAGACATCTTTATAAGA